AATGCTCTGAAAGAGTTTGCCTGGATAGCCTTGAAAAACAAACACATGAAAACAAACAAAAATATTTGGTCTTAATGAATGTGTATGGTATCATGTATCTCTCTCTGTGGTGTTCCAGTCCACAAGATGAATGCATGTTCAACACACTGCCTTATTACATAACTGATCTATTTATTATTGCATACATGTATTCTAAAGTCAATGAGTCATTGAATGACACGACCAGACGTTGCCAGTAGTGGGGTCCCATGTGTGCTCTTTTGATGCAGTACTACCACAAGCCTAGTAACCTTATTCATGTTAAAATGCCACTTCTTGATATCTTTATGTAGTCACTTAAAACACTACAGTCTTGTTTCCACTTCTGCAGTTCCAGGAAACAAGATACAAAGTTGGGGACCAAACAGTGGTCCTATATTTTGTTTCTTGTCTGCCACAGTGAGTTGGACCACAGCAGGTTGCACTGCAGGTCCTTGGCTCTATCCATTTATTGATCTTGACCATGGTAGAAGATGCACCAAATAGGATCATATGACTTGCTGTCTAGCCTTAGTGAATAAACCAGTAGGACTTTTAACAAAAAATATTATGTATACTGTCCTGAATCCAGCATCTTTTGCAGTCTACATTCTTGTGTCTGTTTTAATGTTATGAAATTAAATATATCTAAGAGTGAAGGTGTTCTGCAGGATCATCCTAAAAGAAGAAATACTGGTCCTGTCTTTTAAAGAAATGTTGTAGAAAATTCTTAATTTGGAGCTATTTATTACTTCGAGTTTCAACACTTCTCTACTGCCAGTGTGAGAGTCACTTCTACCATAAAACTATTTGCATAACATTTTTGTTTGTTCATGTAGTGTATGGTCTGCTTAGTTTTAGGGTTTTGTTTCTGGGGTTTTTTGTTTTATTTACAACTGCTAAATTAAAACCCTTTATTTGAAAAGAAAAAAATATGTTGTTATACAGTTACATGTTGGAATAAATACCTATATGATATATCGTATGTGTGTGTGTGTATATACGCATATACACACACACTCATATATACTTTTTACACCTTCCAGATTTTGCTCTCTGTTCAATAACCTGCTTGTGTTTCCAGAAGGATTTCTTCTCTATAAAAATGAGTATTCTTTCATACCATCTGTTACTCCTTAAAATCAGGATCCTTGTTTATGCATGATCAAATGAGAAGATGTGTACTCAGTTTCACATCAAAGCTCCGTGCTCTCATATTGGTGATGGTTTCTTGATGAAATCATCGCACTTCTATTAGAAGTTTAAATCTCCCAATGAAGAGAGAAAAGAATTTAAAAAATACTTCTGGATGCAAAGGTTTATTCAGGTTTACCAGCCTTAAAAAATGTATCTTGTTTCTGAACAGGCCAGTATGTCATGTGTATGCTTAGATGCCACATGTAATCTGTATGTGTAGAGCTGAACAGTAGTATCTGTATGACTTACTGTTTCATGCACATGGTTTGTGCAGCACTGTAAAACTTCCTATTGGGGTTATTTCTTATTCAGATGGTAAATCTTAATACTGTTTCTTTAAGTCCAAAGAAAATTTTACACTTTACTCTTTCAGAGAGGGTGGGATACGGATTGGGTTGGGGGGCTTTTTTCTTATTTAAAATGTTGTTTGATCACACTCCGCAGGAAGTCCTTCTCAGGCTTCCCAAGAATAAGTGTACTTTACTTTTTCAGTAATGTTATGACTCTTATTGACGATTGGCATGAAGCATACTTGAAATGTTATGTTGTTCCTTTAAGTCCATGTCTTAATGTGCAATTAGGGAGGTGGGGCGAGGAGTGGGAGTGTAATTTTAAAGTTACTTTTGACCTAAGGCAGGTGATGGCGGGGAAGGGGAAGGGGTGCATGTGAAGGGGATAAACTTCAATTTTTATTGATAATTTTATATGAAAATGTTTGGAAATCTAAAAGCAACCTTAAGAATGTTTGGTCTACTAGTGTGTGTTCAACTACCAATCTTTTAGTTATATCAGATAGATGTAGAATTTTGTCCATTTTGACTTTTCTAACTAAGTTTTGTGGTAAAAACTCATTGAGTTTCAGTAGGGGAAGAATCCCATGACACTTCTAGTATGACTATTGCACTGTTTTATTAGAAATGGTGAAATGAATCATTTTACCCTTAAAATACCAGATAAGCTTTATTATACACTGAGAACAGGGGTGGAAGGAAACAGCAAATAGAATAGGCATAAAGGGGAGATGACCGCAATTACAGTATCAAATTAGTGCTGAATTTCATGCAAATTGTGGATCATCCTTAAACTCTTAAATTTTCTAATTCAATGTGAGAGGGAAGAAAATAGACTGCAGTTGCGTGTGTGTGTGTGCGCATGTTGACTTTTTCACAAAATTCTGATAGAATAAGAGTTACTAAGTATTGATCTAAATAAAAATAAATTAGCTATTTTAATCTAATTTTGTATGCAGAAACAAATCCTTGTTCACTTAATTTCAGACATTCATATTTCTCTTAAAGAAAGGATAATAAGGTACCCTTCCAAGTCTTTAACATATGACTCAATATGCTCAATGTGAGCATTGATCTTTGGGATGGCTTAAAGTGTTTTGGCAATAAATGTTTTGCAGTTTTACTTAACATCAAGATGTTTAAAGCAAAGTTATATGTGAGAATTTGGATTAATTCACTGAGGTGACCAGACAGAAATTAGCAGTAAGTTGCAATATCTAAAAAATAATTTTCAGCATAAGTGAGTCACTATTACTAGAACAGTAGTTGTATCCAACAGTAAGGACAGTTTTCATCTTGCCACTAACTTTTCACCTCAGACAGTGGATGTCCAATTGGGTCAACAAGTTTTAATATCTCTTTAGAAGTTTGAATCCACTGAGAGGTTTTACAAACATTTGAATATCACCTAGATATGAAGGCCATCTTAGTTCATGATAAAGAGAAAGAACAAGAAAGAAGAAATTGGCATACTCTGAAGTGAAGAGAGTCTTCCAACGTAAAAAAACCCCTATGCTCAGTCTTCAGCCTTTGGATCGTAAGAAGTGGTTGATCATTTCTCTCTCCTTTTCATTGGTTGGGTGTTTTTAGGTTAAGACTGTGCTTTCAATTTCAGAAGCAGAGTACACATAGTACAGTGCATTTGGAGAGTCCAGTATACTTCTATTAAAGTTTCTTTTAATCTGGGGGAAGGAAATTACAAGTTCTTGGGGTTTGCCTGACCCATTGTCCTTCTTTCCCATTCTCACAGTGAAATAAAGTATGTTCAAAATCTGGTTTGGGTCCTTGGTCCTTAGTTGGTAAGTATCATCTTGCTTTCTTAGAAGCTATACTAGTGTCTTGGGGTCTCTTGAACGACCCGTTAATTTCAAGCCCCATTACTTAGTTTGCAAAATTAACAGGAAGGCTGTAGAATGGCCTGAAAACTGCCCTGTTCCGTTGTTGTATGCATTATCTTACTTCAGCCACTGCTCTGATGGTAGGTTGTTTGATTTGCTTCATACTGTCTTCATACACATCATATCCCATCTTTTACCACTTGCAGTTTAACAGCAAACTGTATCTTTTAGCAAACTCTTGTTTCAGTCTATAGAGGGACGTGGTGTTTTTGTGTTTGCTCATTGGTCCATTGATTTGCACAATTCAGTGTAGTGCAATGCACTGAAGTCAAGACTTAGTGAAAACTTCCTCAGACTTTCAGCCATAGCAGGAGCTAACAGGAACTGCAAAAATGAGCAGTGCAAAATATGTTCCAAAGTTTAACAAGTGCAAGGCATGTGTTTTTATGAGCCTCAATAGTTTTCTTAATTCAGTAGTATACAGTAGAATATAGTGTACACCAGGAAGCTATTCTGTATACTGTACCAAGAAGCTTTACTGTTGGGCATAAAAGGCTTATGAACAGATGATGGGTACTAAAACTCATACATCTGCAGTGCTTTTGTGTGTGCTTGGGAGTTAATCAGTGCATTAACACAGCTAAACCAATGACATTTACAAGGCTGGCTCTGTGTCTGAGTGAGCAGATAACGTAACATCAAAGCACAATCACATAAGGGCTTTGCCTTTACTTGAGCAGCAAGAAATGCCACTGTGACTAGACAGGAAAGAGAAGTATTACCACAGTAAGAACAATACCTTTTGGAGGGGAGAGGGGAGCAGACTAAAATAAAGAGAAGAGATCCCTTAGTAGCTGGATGTGGTACCTCACGTTAACATAGAGAACAGGGTGTAAGATAGGGTGACAGCTTGCAGAGTGGCAGCTTCTTTGGTTCACTGCTGTAATAATTGTTTTGTTGCTGAATTGAGAGAGAGATGGATTGCAGCTTCGTACAAAAATCTGAGCTGTCTTATGGTTTGAGATGCTAATTTCTGTTTAACATTTGAGTATTGCATCTTATTTATATTCTATGTTTTACCTCAGCCAGATTGATTCTACTGTAAAGTGATAATCATGCGTTTTTCGTTCTTCATTTACTTTTAATGTTTCCAGTCTGGAAATTTGAGCAAAGTCAAATGTAGGTCTGTGAATACAGCAGAAGATATATTTTCGTCATCATTCAGTAAAATTCTGACTGGAAGTAACCCTTTCCTGAATGTTACATCAAATGGGCCATGCGTTTTCCTATGTTCCTTCAGAGAACTGATGCTATAAAGCTGGAATTTCCATTAGTAAACTTTACACTTCTCATCACAGTGAGGAATAAATTATTATCTTTTATCATTGCTCACAAATAAGACAGAATTCAACGTCTGGGTCCTGTTTAGGAAATAGTAGGTTTGTGAAGCT